ATAGACACTGTGTTACATGCATCACAAAATGGTTCACTTATCCTGCACTTATTTCTAATATATCACGCAAATATATTGATATGTACATTATATATACACACTGTACAGTATCACACACTATATACACACACTAGACACACACTCAGTACTCCGCGAGTGTGTGATATGCTGCGAAACGGTCAACGGGGCAGAGTGGCACCTTGCACTCCACGCACCAGGTGCTGATGCATCTACGCTTTTGTGGTCTGCGTGTGGTGTTCCTGCAGACTATGCATTCGACTCAAGGGTCAAATGTATCACCGACCCAACAGGCAGCATGACGGAGGCAAAAACAAGGAGTCACCCTGAGACAAGGGGACAGAGCAACCCTCAACTCGCACAAAGCGAGAGGGGACGCAAGGGTCTCCACTACCGGACCCGAGAGCCCCCGGGGGGTTTCCCAGGGCCCCTAGACTGGGTCTGCTAAGGGTTATCCCAGGCAGGGCACTGCTAACCGGCGCCCCAAACTACCAAGCAAACTGCTAAAGCTGAACCCACGGGACGTGTCCACTCGCGAGGGCAAAGCAGGGGGTGCCACCACACAAACGAACCTAATATAAGGGGAGGGGGGAACACAAGGCAGACTCCCCTACCAGGCAAAAACAAATATAAAAGAAAAACCACACAAGTGGACAACGTACCCAGAAGGAACAGAGCCGGCCGCTGTCATAGGTGAAAACTAGCTACGCAGTACCCTGCGCCCCACCAGTGCTATAACTACCACTTACCCCAAGGTAAACAATGGAATAAAACCCCCAAACCCTCGGGGCGGCCAAACGCCAAGCAGCGAAAAGCCAACAGAGGTAGACCCAAGGTGACTTGTGGAAGGCAACCCCAAGCCCCAAGGGCGGTACTTACAGGGCACTCAGGGAAGGTGACCCTAAGCACATGCAGCCCGAGTACCTAAGAATACTACTCCCAACTCACACGACCACCGTAAGAGCAGCACTGCAAACAAGGCACAGCACAGAGACAAGACTGGAGCTGGAGCCACACGACCGTGCATTATCCCATCAGCCGAGGAACTGAGGCGGGGATCGCCGGCGCGGGAGTCTGGGGCTCCCCCTTCCCCCTCCCGGGGAGGGGGGAGCTGCGCAGACATGCGGCGCGGCTCGTGTGACGTCATGCTTGTTAGTTCGTTTTCCTGGGGGAGTTCTGCCCACTCGTTTGTCGATTTTTGTTGTTTAACCAGAATAGAATTTAACCAGAATAGGGGTTTGTTTTGTGGCGCTTACCTTTCTGGGTGCCTGTCCTGGTCGATGGCAGATATAGAATGCTCCAAATCACATGTGCATTTCTATGGGCCATTGCTCCCCATGCCTCTCTGAGGGGGCCAGGTTCTAGCTCGTGGTCCCCGATAGGCCTAGAACTCCACCCACATCGACTGATGCAAAATAGTTAGGGTATCCATATCAGCCATGGATAGCTCCGAGGAGCCTCCGGGACTCGCCCAGAAAATGGTGTTTCATTACATTCAACGCTGGTTTTTTCCCCGTGATCATGGAACACAAATAAACACTTTTATAAGACTAAAGTTTTTTTTTTTTTTTTTTTTTTTTTTTTTTTTTTTGCCTTGCGGTGTTGAAGGCCAAAAAGCCCTTAGCAGTTTGAGAGTTAAGTGCCATACTACCTAGTGTCATCAGTTGCAGATTTCCTTTTTCCTCCTGGGGACCATGTGCCACAACCTGGCCCTCCTAACAGAGGAGCATGGAGTGATGGCCTATGATTACTTTACATTTATTGGATATCATCCTTGCTATCACCAGGTAAGGCACCCAGAAAGTTAGGCAAACACTGGAACAGGGAACCAGAGAAACCGAATCAACTCACAATGAGTCCACTGAGACAGAACTCGTGGCTCAAAGCTAGCTGCATAACGCTGCCACCGGACAAAGCGCATGATGCACCCACCAGCCGAACCTACCAAGCTTCTGAATCCCAAAATGGTGAACATTCAAATTTTTAACTATGTGAACACTTCCACAACCACGGGAATCCTCTAGAAGCCCACTGTCTCCTTCTTCAAAAGAAAAGAAGAAGCAGGCTGCAAAGAAACAAAACAAAACAATCCCCCAGGACCAAAGGAACAAAAATCCTAGTGTCTGAGGAGGGCATGAAGCTTGTCCACCCGACAACCAAAGGAAATAAAAAACAAAGCCTTCCAAAAACAATCCTGGATCAAACGGGCCACAGCAGAGCCGAATGAAGAAAAAAGAAAGAACCATGTCCAAAAAAAACAGCGTTGAATGTAATGAAACGCCATTTTCTGGGCGAGTCCCGGAGGCTCCCCGGAGCTTTTCCAGGCTGATATGCCAATGTCAGACTTTGGCATCAGTCATGTGTATGGAGTTCTTAGGCCTACCGGGGACCACGGCTAGAACCGGGCCCCCTCAGAGAGGCAAGGGGAGTAATGACCTATAGAAACCCCCGTGTGGTTGGAAGCATTCTATGTCTGCCGTCAACCGGAACAGGCACCCAGAAAGGCAAGCGCCTCAAAACAAACCCCTATTCTGGTTAAAATTGCTACCAAAAGCCAAACTAGTGAATAGAACTCCCCAACAGAAAACAAGCAAATTAGTGTGACGTCACACATTGCCGCGCTGCTGTCTGCGCAGCTTTCCCCTCCCCAGGAGGGGGAAGGGGAAGCCCCAGACGCTTCACGCTGGCTACCCACACCTCATTTCTGAGGCTGGATGTCAAAAACACGAAAAAAACGCCGACTGGAGGGAGGGAGGGATGTTGGGGAGCCTCCGGGACTCGCCCAGAAAATGGCGTTTCATTACATTCAACACTGGTTTTCTGGGGAAAGCCCGTCGGCTCCCCGGAGCTAACTACCCACAGACGGCAAAAAAAAAAGAGGGACTTACCTGGGAGGCGGTCGTCGCTCACTCCTCGACTCGAGGAGTCAACGGGCTGCAACGAGACAGCCCTGCAAGTCGAGACAACGGGCTGCAACGAGACAGCCCTGCAAGTCGAGACAACGGGCTGCAACCACCGACCCAGAAGCAACACAGGCCCGACGGGGCCCAGGGACATTCACAAGGTAACGAGCAGCCAGGACCCTGTTCGACCGCCAAAAACCCCACGCCCGAATATCAGACCAAGACATATTCCCAAAGATGGCAGCAAGAGCCACGAACTTACAGACGTCATGGGCACGGGGATAGACCGCAGGCTGGCTAGATTTGATAACCCTGCGGACGACCTGGGAGACCCGAACCCGTGAACAGGAAAGAAAGGAAACAGGATCAACCCAAAGAGTGTCCCCGGACACAGAAGCCGTGGCGCGCAAATAACGACGAAGCGCCGCAATCGGACACAAAACATGATGCACCCCCGGCCGTACCAACCAAGCATCAACCACCCACGAACCCCTCCGGAACGTAGCAGTCTCATTCTTTGCCAGAAAAGAGGGAGACGGCTGCAAGCGCCCTCAAGGCCAGACGCACTAATATTTGTCCTCCAACAATATTATTTGTGGTGTTATTATGCTATATACACACATTATATATAAGTATCTACCTGTTTTATTAACCATACCTGAACAAATAAGCTGGTATGGTGCCAAAAGATCATAGTGGCCATCAGTAAACAACATGCCAAGTCGTGCAGACGACGCTCCTCCCTCACCAAAATGGCGGCTCCCAACCTACTCCTCTCGCTGTTATTTCACACTATACACATGTTATATATAAGTATCTACATTTGTGTTCACCATAGCGAACCACTAAGCTGGTATGGTGAGTGCAGTCAATAAATGGTGGCCACACACAGTCAGAAAACGACGCCACAACCCTCCCTCCCACAGCCTTACTCCTCCCTCCATGGAGCACAGCACTAAATATCACCACAATCCTACTATTATCAGAATCCTGGTCAGTTTTATCACAGTCAGGGGGCTTCAGTAATACTATCACTGCTAAATAATAGCAGTATCATTTATATTATGGTATTTGTAGGCGATGCTGTGGTCACAAGCTGAACAGCGGTGCTGTGAGCTCGTGCTGCGTGCGCCAGCCTTGGTGGCTTGCTCAATACTGAGCTGTAACACCCAAGAATGTTGGCCTGGATTTTTTTTCTAGGTGGCATCTGGCAACTATCGGTCGTGGCTGTACTATAGCTGCCCCTATCCCAGGCGGGGCGTTTAAATTATAGCGCTAGACACGAAATCATATATAAATGATGTGCGCGGTTTCAGTTTTGTCACTGATATTATTTATATATGATATGCGCGGTTTGAGGGTTAAACCAGGCAGTTTTTTTTTTTTTTGAGTCACCTATCTTTCTGGGTGATGGCACCCACCTATCTTTCCTTTGTGATGGCAAAGATGATATCCTTTGAATGTAAAGCGATCATAGGCAATTGCTCACTGCGCCTCTATGAGGGGGCCAGGTTCTGGCTTGTGAGCCGTGGTATGCAAAAAGAACTCGGCAACTGATGACACTAGGTAATATGACACTTGGTGGTGATTGCTTCAGGAAGCCTCCAGGGGCTCACCCAGAAACTGGGGTTTCATTACATTTAATGCTGGTTTTTTGTGTTTCAGTAATGGAATTTTATTAGGGTAAATAGTATATTTAATTTCCAAATAACATGAATGTGTTTAAATTGCAAAGTAATATAAAACTTAACATTTTCTTAAAAACTTTATTGGCATTACAGATTCTGAAGTTCTTTATTTTCCTAAATTAGCCGAACACCAAATCTTGACTACCAATATACACAGTAACTTTGCTATAATTCCTCCATTACATTCTGAAATTTAATTGAACCGAGTTGAATTTAAGGGAAAAACTAATGTATCGTAATTAATTTTCCTGGATGGATGAGAGAATGCTTAACATAAGATTGTAAACCATTAATGAAGCATAATTTTAAAAGCTTTTCTGGGGAAAATTTGTGTGTTTAGCTGAATTTACAATGTAAGTATGAATTTGTCTTGAGTAAACATCATTTCCAGGTTGACGTTGGAGAAGAAAAGACGCGCACTGTAGTTTCTGGCCTTGTTAGGTTTGTTTCACTTGAGGAAATGCAGAACCGTATGGTGGTTGTATTGTGTAACCTAAAACCAGCTAAGATGCGTGGCATCACTTCTCAGGCGATGGTTATGTGTGCTTCAACTCCTGATAAGGTAATTGTAAAATGCATCCTGTTTTTATTGATGTGATTTTATTATTGGAGCAAAAGCAGCATTTAGCAGTTTTAGCTTTCCGGCCTAGCAGCATGTTCCTTGACCATAAACTTCCTGGGCATCTCTGGGTCCCACTCAGCATTGCCAAAAATTATTATACCCTTTTATGTGGGGAGCTTTGTCGGCTCCCTAAAGCTAGCTTACTGATTAAGTGCCATACAGTGGTACCTTGGCTTACGAGCGCCCCTGGTTACACGTTTTTTTGTTACGAGCAGGATTTGCTCGGAAAATTTGTATCGGGATACGAGGGGTGTTGATACGTGTACAGGCCGACTAGCGCGTGGTGGCACAGTGATCGCCTCTCAATTTACCAGTGCCTCGCGCCCAGTGACTATCCCGCCTCAATTCTTCACTAGGATTTACAGTGTTTTGTTGGATATTTGGCCATTTGAACATAAAAGTTATTATATATCTCGCAATGGGTCCCAAGAAAGCCAGTGGTAAGGTTCAACCTAAAAAAATAGTTGTGAGTAGAGGATGTCCCTTCCTCATTAAAAAAATGTGTGAAGTATGGGAAGAACTGCAAAGTTTTGTTGACAAAACTCACCCAGATAAAGCTGTAGCAGGCTGTTGCATTGACCTTTTAAATAACAATGTGATGTCTTACTACAGACAAGTGTTAAAATGTAGGGAAAAACAAGTGTCTTTAGACAGATTCTTAGTAAGACAAGCAAGCAGTGAGCTACAAGCAAGTCCTAGTGGTATGCAGGCAAAACGTGCCAGAGAGTGCATACCAGAGAAGTCCTCACTGCCTGATGTTATAATGGAAGGAGACTTCCCTTCCAAACAGTAACACCTCTCCTCCTCCTCACAATCTTCCATTCGCCAACAGCAGTCATCAGCAAGGGTAAGTAATAACTTGAACATAGTTTTGTAGTGTAGATTTCGATGAATTAAGTATAAAATTTATTTTGAAGTGAGGTTTTTTGGGTAGCCAGGAACAGATTAATTCATTTCCCATTATTTCTTATTGGGAAATTAGCTTTGGGTTATGAGCCATCTCCAGGAACGGATTAAACTCTTAAACCGAGGTACCCCTGTACTGTATGAGCTCGCTTATCTGAAGCCCACTTTTCTGGGGGGGAGCCCCTATTTTCTGGGGGGAGCCCCGTCGGCTCCCCGGAGCTTTACCAGGCTGATATGCTAATGTCAGACTTTGGCATCAGTCATGTGTATGGAGTTCTAGGGCCTACCGGGGACCACGGCCAGAACCTGGCCCCCTCAGAGAGGCAAGGGGAGCAATGGCCTATAGAAACCCCCGTGTGGTTGGAAGCATTCTATGTCTGCCATCGACCGGGTCAAGCATCCAGAAAGGTAAGCATTCCAAAACAAACCCCTATTCTGGTTAAAATTGCTACCTAAAGCCGAACTAGTGGATAGAACTCCCAACAGAAAACAAGCAAACTAGTATGACGTCACACGTCACCGCGCCGCTGTCTGCGCAGCTCCCCCCTCCCCGGGAGGGGGAAGGGGGAGCCCCAGACCTCCCACGCCGGCTATCCACCCATCAGTTCTTCGGCTGATGCTATAGGCACCGGTTATGTGCTCCGGCTCCAGTAGTTGTTTCAGCACTGTACCTAGAGTGTGGTGTCTGTCTTCTAGGTGGTGCGTGAGCCGGGAGTGAGTCTCCAGTACTCGGGCTGCATGCGCCTAGGGTTCCCTTCCCTAGGTGCCCTGTAAGTACTGCCCTTGGGGCTTGGGGCCACCTTCCACAAGTTCCTTGGGTCCTGCCCCTGCTAGGCCGTTTACTGCTTGGTTTTCGGCCGCTCTTTGTGTGCTCGGGTGTTCTGTCTCCCTTGTTCGCCTTAGGGTAAGGGGCAGTTTTGCACTGGTGGGGCGCAGGGTACTGTGCAGCTTGTCTTTACCAATCATGGCGGCCGGCTCTGTTCCGCTTGGGTACGCTGTCCTCTTGCGGGGTTTTCTTTTTCTTTTTGTTTATCTACCTGGTGGGGGGTCTGCCTTCGTTCTTGCCCCTTGTGTCCCTTGTGTTCTGAGTATTTTCTGGTGGTACCCCCTGCTAGGTCCCCGTGAGTGTACACGTCCCGGGGGTTCAGCTCTTAGAAAGTTGTTTGGTAGCTTTGGGTGCCGGTTAGCAGTACCCTGCCTGGGATTACCTGAGCGCGAGTCCTCTTATAGTAAACGCTCGGGACCCTGGGAAACCCCTGGGGGCGCGTGGGTCCGATGGATGTGACCCCAGAGTCCCCCCTCGCTTCCAGCGAGTTTGAGGGTTGCTCTCACCCTTTGTCTCTGGGTGACTCTCTGTTTTGCCTCCGTCTGCTGCCTGTGGGGTCGGTGACACCTTCGACCCGGAGTCCTGCGAGTTTTGTTGCTCGTTGTGGCTCGGTTACCCAGTTGTGCTGACTAAGCGGGTGCGGGCAGCAGGGGCGTTGCACTTTGAGCCTTGGTGGTGGCAACGCTCTCGTGGTTTACTCCCCGGGAGCCCCGGGGCTGCCCCGTTTTGGTTCGTGTTGGGACTTGGGGGTGTTGGTTGCTTCGGTTCCTTCCACGCCCCCTTGTCTTTCCCCTGGATCCCCCTTCCTGCCTGCATCCGGTTCCTTACCGTCTGTAGGTTCGGGGCGGGGTTTGATGGTGTTGAGACTCGGGCAGTCTCGGGGAATTCCCCTTCCGGGGTAGTGACGGGGGCATTTGAGCCTGTTCCTCCAGCCGTGTTGTAAGAGTCTGCCAGTGGGCTCCCTTCCTTAGTGTTTTCGCGGCTGCCCCGGTTTTCTGGTACGGCCGGGGCTTTGGGGGGACGGCTCGGCCCCGGGGCCTGTCGTGTAGGTTCCCGGGGCTGGGGAGGGGCTGACTTGGGGGGCCTTGGCCCCGTAGGACCCCGTGGGGGTTTTTTCTCCCCCTCTAGGCGGGGCTTGTGGTTACGCGGAGTGGGGTCTTTCCTCCCCACTCGCCGTACGTGCTGTTGGGCGTCGGCCCCTCCCCGGGCTCGGTTCCTTGGCCTTTGAGTCGGTTGGTTCCATCCTGTGGGTGGATGCTTCCCCCCCCCTTTTTTGGGACGGTGTTTTCGTCATGTTTCCCCGTTCTTGGGGTTCTACGTGACTTCTGGTCTCGGGTGCGCCTGCGCCTTTGTGTGCCTTCGGGACTAGTGTTGGCTTCTGTGTTCTCGAGGGTTCGGGAAGGTTTTCGCTACTTCCCGCATTATTGGAACGTCTGTCGGCTCCTCGTCCGGGTCGCCGTTTTGGGCTACTTGTAGCCCGGTTGGGCTGCTTGTGGCCAGTGGCCCTGTTGGGCTACTTGTGGCCCGGTTGGGTACCTTTTTGGGCTCTGTCTTCGCTTCGTTGGCCGGTTTTGTTGTTCCTGCTTCCTCTTTTGGCTACTTTTCTAGTGCAGTAGTCCTGGTTGGCGCCTTCCCGCAGAGAGGGTTGTGCGGTTCGGCCAGCGTGTCATGCGCATGCGCCGTGGAGTTTGTTTTGGTCTGGGCGGTGTGTTTCAGTGCTGGTGTTTTGCGCCCTTTTTTCTCAAGTGCTTCGCCTCTCGCTCTTCTCCCTTGCTGTGGTATGTGCCCCTTCGCTCCGGGGGTGTCCTGGTTTCCAGCTGTGGGGAGGACGCCGAGGTTTTCCCTGTGTCATGGGTGTGGGCCGCCTCCTTCGCCTCTACCCTGCTCTCCTGCGGGTCCGGCTCTGGCGTCTTCACCTGGCGGTGCTCCCAGGATCTTCTGGGCACGGTTGAGTCGTGTCACGTTCGTGCCTCCGTTCGACAGGTGAGTTTCTGCGGTCTGGCGTCTTTTGGCCGGGCGCTGGATGCGGAGCTGTTTATATACCTGTCTTTATTTAGGTATATTTTTGTACGACAGGCCGTTCACACACCAGTGACTGTCCCTTTTTTCAACCCTTCCTGTCCCCCTCATGTGCATGTCCAAGCCATGCTAGAGTCATTCAAGGGACCCACCTTTTTTCGTGTTATGAGATGTGTGGGTTGTGGTGCTGGTTATGTACTCACCTGGTAGGGCTCTCCTGGTTGTGCTTGCAGGGTTTGAGCTCTGGCTCTTGGGTCCCGCCTATCTGGAAGAACTTGCGGGATAGTACCAGTGGAGTGCAGTGGTGCTATAGGCACAATCGGGGAACACTGTATAACCATCAGAGGTCTGCGGTTGTTACACGACCTACTTGCGAGCATACGCCATATTGCCGGTACGTCCGTGGACTTCCAGGGCACACTAGCCTGTTTTCGAATAGAAGTTCCGGCCCATCCTGGTTGTGGGGGGTATGTGGGCCTGCGGGCCGCTCCAAGCAGCTGCCTGGTGGGCCACCCTCTGGCCGGTCTAGCCTAGCCTCGGGCCGGGCTTGGGGTGTAAATGAGCTCCCAGTACCCCATCCAGCAGGTATCGAGCGGGGTTCTCCGCCGTCGGTCGCCTGGTGTGCAGGTTTCTGGGCCTGCTGGGTTCTGTCGTGTCTCCGTTGGCCCTGTCTGGGGTCTGCCTGCTCCGTTCTCTGCCTTTGCAGAAGCGAGTTGCTATTTACATGTTGCATGTTGCGGTGGTGCCTGTTGCTGCTGCTGCACGTGTGCATTGGTACCGTGTTTCGCGGTGGCGTGTCCTTGTTCCTGTGTCCGGTTGTGGTGTGGCACTTTGCTGCTGTTTTGTGCCTAGGGTTTGCGTATGGGGGTTTGCTTGTTGTTTTTCGTGGTCTTCGGGTCCCTGGCTTGGCCCTCTCATGTGCGTGGGGTTTTTCTGTCCCTGCCTGATTGTCCACCCCTGGTTGTTTTCCTGGGGTTTTTGTGCTTCAGCTCTTTCATCCTGCCTCTCCCCAGTCGTTTTCCTGGCATCTCCTTTGGTCGGTTTTGCCTGCACTTGCTGCTATGTTGGGGGGGGTGGTCGGTTTCCACCGCTTCATTTCCTTGTGCGTTCCCTTGTTTCCTCCTCTGCCGCAGGGGTGTTCTGCGTGTGTTCCTTGGCTTCTTGGGCGTTTTTTCAGCCTGTGTCCTGTGGTGTGCTTCTTTGTCTCGGTCTGTTGCAGTTGCTCGTACCCCTTGGTTCGGGTACTGTTTCTGGCGGCAACCCTTCCGCCTTCTTTGGTTTCCTAGCTTGCCCTGCCGGTTGGTTTTTTCGGGGTCTTGCGATGTCTCGCGTCGGACCCGTCATTTCTGAACTCCTGGCGGGCTTGCTTGCTTTGGGGAGTTTTTCTGTTCGGCAGACGTTCCATCTCCTTGTGCCGCCTGGGTTTCGGTGGTCGCGCCCGAGATCTTCCCGCGGCTCCGCCTTTTCCTGGGCTCGGAGGGGCCTTGTCGGGGCTGCTTACGTTCTGCCTCGCGGTCTCGCCTCCGGTTGGTGGTCGGGTGGCTTCGTGGTAGGTGTCCCACCTGCGTACTTCTCTTGGCGGCAGTATGGGGTATTTTGGCGGTCCTTCCTTTTCCTGTCCCTTCTTAGGTGGCTACTCTTGTTAGCGTCGGCTTGGTTTTCTGGTGGGGGTTGGGGGCCGTCGTCTTGCCACATACTGTCGCCTCTTTTCGTGCGGCGCTGGCGGAGCCGCTTCGGCTTGCTTTCGGTCTTGGTGTTGCTTCTGCACCGTTAGTAAGCTGTCTCGTGCTTTGTTTCACCTCCGGCCTGTTCGTGCGCCGCTTGCACCGTCCTGGTCTCTGGTCAGCGTGCTCTGTCTTCTCCTCGGTTGGTAGTGCCCCTTCGGTTCCGGTTTGTTTTTTCGTCGGCTCTTTTTCCTTTTGGCATTTGCCTCTGGGGGTCGGGTCGCTGAGTTTTCTTGCTCCTTCGGTTTTAGCGTTTTGGTTGTTCGGTGGCAGCAGTCTCCATCTTTTCTGGCGCGGGGTGGGGCTGCTGCGTTCTGGAGGGGTCCATGGTTTGTTGGTGCTTGGTTGGTCGGGCCGGGGGTGTGTCGTGTTTTGTGTTCAGTGGCGGCCCTCCGCTGTTGTTTGCGTGCCACGGCATCTGTGTCCGGGGCGCGTTTTGCGTTGATCCGGTTCTGTTCTTCCCGGTTCGCGGGTGATGGTGTCCCGGGTTGTCAGCCGTGTTCTTGCGGCTAAGCTGCCTGTGTTCTTCCCTCATGCCCGTGGCGTTCGTGGCTTCGCTGCTCTCGCTGCCGTCTGAGCGATGTGTCCTTGCGGTCATTCGGGCATGGATCTTTGGTGTTCGTACGGGGGCCTTGCTGCTCGTTGTTCTCGTGTTGTTCCCGGGACTTTTCGGGGCTGTGGCGCCTTGGGTTGGCGTTTGCTGCCGGTTGTCTCGCTTCCGTGGGGGGTGCGTGGTGTCCGCCTCCCGGTTCCGTCCCTTTGACCTTCCTCTGTGGGTAGTTAGCTCCGGGGAGCCGACGGGGCTCCCCCCAGAAAACCAGCGTTGAATGTAATGAAACGCCATTTTCTGGGTGAGACCCGGAGGCTCCCCGGCAACCCTCCCTCCCTCCGGTCGGCGGTTTTCCGCGTGTTTTGACATCCAGCCTCAGAACTGATGGGTGGATAGCCGGCGTGGGAGGTCTGGGGCTCCCCCTTCCCCCTCCCGGGGAGGGGGGAGCTGCGCAGACAGCGGCGCGGTGACGTGTGATGTCATACTAGTTTGCTTGTTTTCTGTTGGGAGTTCTATCCACTAGTTCGGCTTTAGGTAGCAATTTTTACCAGAATAAGGGTGTGTTTTGGAATGCTTACCTTTCTGGATGCTTGACCCGGTCAATGGCAGACATAGAATGCTTCCAACCACACGGGGGTTTCTATAGGCCATTGCTCCCCTTGCCTCTCTGAGGGGGCCAGGTTCTGGCCGTGGTCCCCGGTAGGCCCTAGAACTCCATACACATGACTGATGCCAAAGTCTGACATTAGCATATCAGCCTGGTAAAGCTCCTGGGAGCCTCCGGGTCTCACCCAGAAAATGGCGTTTCATTACATTCAACGCTGGTTTTTTTAGTGGAAAATGTTTGATTTATTAATACACAATAACCTGTTCTTATTTACTGTGTTGCAATTTCTCAGGTGGAGATTCTGACACCACCAGAAGGCAGCCAACCTGGTGATCTTGTGGAATTTGAAGGTTATACCAGAAACCCAGACTCTGTGCTGAATCCTAAGAAGAAAATATTTGAAACTTGTGCTCCAGACTTGAAAACTGATGCTAACAAAGTAGCTGTGTATAAGGGCATTCCGTTTACTGTTGCAGGAAAGGGAATTGTTGTATCACAGACTCTGGCAAATGTCCAAGTAAAATGAATGAATTATTTTTTTTTTTTTTTTTTTTTTTAGGGGTCGTCTTTGTAATACTGGGATATTTTAATTTAATTTGATTACTTAGTTAAATTGTTTAACATAACGGTCATAGTTGGTACAATATGCTGAACTGTTGAACCAAAAATGTGTAGTATGTTTACAAGGGAGCTTGTTACAAATAAACTTCTTGTCACATGCACAATGAAATCACATTATCGTGATGTATCAATGAAAAGTTGGGAGTACGAAGAGAGCAGGCTTGAATCCCCATAATGGCTCCTACAGATTTTCTCAATAAAATTCATTATTACCTTGTAAATATTTTATTTACCTTAGTGAAGTGGAAATATTACTAAGACAAAGGTTTAAAGCCTTCAAGTCAGTACTAGATTAGATATGTTGTAATGGCTATGTTGCTTTTACATATTTGTTCAAACAAAACGTATAATAATAGTACGAGATGTCACTTATCGTTCTGGATAATGTGAGGTGGGAATTCGACCTACTATCTAAGCTCACTTTTCTGAATAATGTAGGAAGGATTCCCTGCCGGATAAGCTAGATATGCAGATCAGAATTTTTACTGGGGAATTCCAAAAGTTAATATATTTGTAATTTTTTGTACTACAACCATCATTTGAATTACCCCACACACTACAATTAAAAAATATACCAGTACAGTACTGTAATTTAAAACAAACTTCAGCTTACGTAGTTCGTGTTTTTGACTGATGCTGCATACAGTACTGGACAGTAATGTAAATCTTCAAATAAATAAGTCTTGAAATTCTATGTAACCTAACTTAACATAACACTAAAATACATGACATTACATGTACAGTACATGAGCTTAGCAAAGTCAATTTTGACTGACAGTTGCTGAAGTTTCACTGGCAGAAGTCTTGGTTTTCTAGTGAGGCTTCATTTTTTTTTTTATTGCACCCTCTATTACAGCTTTGCACCCTCACCCTCACTGGTTGCTATGTCTTTCATGAATTCATCTTTTTGTTTGTTTAAATCACACTACTAGCACCTATACAAAATTCCTTGACAACACTCATAGCCGATTAACCATTTTCAGAGTTCTATAATGCATAACTTATCTTTAATGGTTAGCAGAACCTTCTTCCTCCTAACACCCCCAGAATGATTACTGCTGCTACTAGACATAGTGTTTGCAAAAAATTATAAAAATAAAAAAGTTATTTAAGGAAATGTTTGGGTCGAGACCACATGGTTTGTTTTAGTTGACCAGGCTTGGAGGCTACACTTGGGGCATACAGGCACAGTATGTAGGCTGCCAGGTAGTAAAAATGAAATAAAAAAATTTTTGCAGGAAACTACAATCTTCAGCCTGTACATACAGTTTTTAAGAGATTTGTATTTGTTATAATATTAGATAATATTTCTTTAGTTTTTACTGTAATGAATTGTTCTGAAATAATTCTTGGTTCTTTTTATGCAACACACCCCTCCCTTTCCAGACCATTGTCGTCGTGAGGGGGGGCTTAGTGGGCGGCTGCCGGAGTGTGATGCTCTTTAGGACGGCTTGTCCTCTGTCCTTTTGAAGCCTTGTGCTCCTGCTGCTGTCCTTTCCAGTTTTGCTGGTAGTTTTTCCCTCTTCCTCATGTTAAGTTTTCCTCCCCATCTCTTCTCCTTTCAGATTGTTTCCTACCTGCTGATTTTTTATCATTCTTGAATGTTCTTTCTGATGTTTTCTTTTGTTTTGTCGCCATGTGTATGCAGATGCACACGCATTCACCCGTAGAACTGTGGTACCTGAGGTTGTTGAGCGAGGGGACGCTTTTTGTTGTCAAACTTTACCTTCATTGTTGAGCCCGATCTCAATGGACTGACGGCTCTTAAGGTGATAATTGCAGGGTGTATATCTATGATGCACCCCTGGGGGGCCCATCTTGTCGGGTGTCCTATCCTCTAATTGTGGCTCCATGGTGAGTATAGGGGCTTATTCGTGGATGAATTTTTGTTTTTATGACTTTTTTTCTGACCCTCCTTTAACTTCTCAGACTAGTGGGGTAGGCGACCAGGCCCCCCAAGTCTTACTGTGCTGGAAGGCTCTGTAGCCCCTACTACGTTGGGTCCTGACAATGCTACTTCTTTGACTTTTCGAACTAACACACTCTGCTCCCCTCCCATCTCTGTGGCGGGGTTGAGCCCCAAGTCCTCAGTGGTGACCTCATCATCACCTGACATGGTTCCATCTCTCATTGTCACAACTGTACCTTTTACCCCCTCTCTTACCAAGGGTGCTCGGCGCAGTCACCTCTGCACTCGCACGATTCCTTCCCAACTCCTCCTTTCCAGCCTTTGGTCCTGCTCCGTGGACTAAGTATTTTGATCTTAGTCATGTTGACCCTACTTGTAATGATGATTTATTCCTCCATAAATACCTTGTTAATTCGGTGGATACGTTTGTCACCTTTAACCCCACCTTTACTGGTACCCGTGTTGTTGCAACCCTTCTCAGGAAGCGGGTGACTGCTTGGCTTCATTGTCCTGCATTGGGGTGACCCCTTGTTCAAATATCCAAAAATGTCCGGTTGAATGCCAGCACTGGCGCAGTTCTTCTCCCGCACCATGTTGTGACACGGAACTGAAAGACTGTCACGAGGCTATTGCGTATATCCTTGAGGCCCAAGGCCATTCTGTCCTTCAGATAGATACCTGTACTCTACCCCATCGTGGTCGTTGTCAGCCTCTTCGCATTTTGAAGGTTACGTTTGATAGTAGGTCCCTTCCATCTTCAGTCGTTCTTGCTGTTGCCAGATGCTTCATTCAGGAGTACATCCCCTCTCCTCGCCTCTGCAGCAGGTGCTGGAGATTTGGGCATGGTCCCTTCAGGTGTACAAGTGAAGTGTGTGTGTATTTGCCCCTTGTGTGGAACCTCGGGTCATTCTAAGACGGAGTGCCCTTCCTCCGAAGCTCTCTGCATCAATTGCGATGATGCCCACCCTACCTTCTCTCGCACATGTGTGCACTACAAATTTGAAGAAGCCATCCTCAATTTGAAACATCGTGATCATTTTTCTTTTTCTGAGGTGCGACACCAGGTTCACAGTCTTCCCTCTTCCTCTGGCATGTCTTATGCTCATGTATTGTGTTCCTCTTTTTGCCCTCTCCAGCTTTCTCAGTTTCACAACCGTTTTGAGGCCTTGGACCCCGATACCTTCACCACCTTGTCTGCTCCTTTGCCTTCTGGGCCAGAGGGTCTTCCTCCAGATTCTCTTGTCTGGTGTTTCCTTCCTTCCTTCCAGGTATTCCTTGTCTCCTGTGCCCTCTTTCCCTTCTTGCCCCACTCCTTCACAGCCCTCTTCTCTGTCTATTTGCCCTCCTCACCGTCTGTTCGAGCCCAGCTTTGTGTTTGTCTCCAGGAGCCGATGTTTGGCGCTCGTCCTGGTCGCTTCTGTAGTTATTCTTTTCTCTCTTTTCCTCCAGCTTTTGCTGGGGCCCATAACTACTGCTCTCTTGATCTGTCATAATATTCCCTTTGTCCCCCTACTTTTTCAGTCGTCCATTCAGTGTTATGTGATCCGTATCTATGAGCAAGTTGTATACAGTCTGTTCCATTTATCTCCCCACAAATCTCCCGCTTTCTCTTCCTGATCTTAAAACCTGTTGGATTCCTTACCAGAGCTTGTGCTCCTTTTTGGTTATTTTAACTGCTGGCATACTTTCTGGGGAAGGTATGCCAGCAGGTATGCTCCAGGTATTCTGACGAACACATGGAGCCGCCTTTTTGAACCATTTGTCTCCTCTTCTTCCATGTCTCTTCTGAATTCGTGAGAGCCCACTCATATTGACTCCCGCATTCCCACCCTTTCCAGATTTGATCTTTCTCTCTGCTCATTTCTCTTTATTTTGTCTTACCTGGCGGGTTCTTGATGACCTACATAATGGTGACCATTTCCTCATCCTTGTCAACTTTCTCTTTTCACCCTCCCTTCTCTTTCCCTAGAGGGCAATTTGCCAAGGCTGACTGGAACCTGTTCACCTTATGTGGTACTCTTTCCGACCTCTCTGATCTGCCTCTCCTCTGAGTTCTCCTCTTTCATGACGCAGTTTTTGATGCTGTCTCTGCTCTGTTCCTCGCTCTTCCTCCCGGGGCACGCAGAAGCGCATTCCCCGGTAGAATGCTGACTGCTGTTGGGCTGTCTGTCACTGGTCCCTTGATAGAATCCTTGGTGAATCGGATGCCTTTGACGTTCGCCTGTTGCGCTTTTGTTGTCGTATTGGCATCCTTAGTAATATTTAGCGCCTTTTGAATATCCCACACATTTGATAGTGCTACATAGCCTCCCTGGCTTGATGCCTTATTTTGATGATTAATTACTTATACAACACAAATATGCAAATTAAGGAAAACTGCAATTGGTCATATTTTGCCCAAATTGACCTGCAGTTTTCAAAATACGATGACTATTGGAAATATGACTCTTAGGTATTTTTTAGCAGAATTCAGGGTGATTGCACATATTTGGAGTTTTATGTTTTATAATGGGCCTTTTTATGTGCACATGTGCCTTTTTATGAAAAAAGCACATGTGTCTTTTTTGTCATATTTGAATGGGTTATGCTACTTTTTCATTAATTAAGTCCGAACGGGTTCTGTGCCTTTTTCGTCATATTTGAATGGGCAATCCAGCCAGTCAACCGACCAGCAGGTCAGCCAGACAGACAGCCAGCCGGCCAGATGGCCGTATTTTGAAAATGGGCCAATTTTTACAAAATCTGAGCAGTCGCCGTTTTCACTAATTTGCATATTTTCGGTATAAAAAATCGTAATTTCAAATTGCAAATATGTGCAGTGAGTCAGAATTCGGCTTCAAAATAACGCTCATGAGTCAGGTTTGCGATATTTCCGATATTTTGAAAACTGCAGGGGGTATTGGGCAAAATGTGACCCATCGCCGTTTTCAGTAATTGCATATTTTCGGTATAAAAAGTCATAATTTCAAACTGCAAATATGTGCAGTGAGCCAGACTTCGACTCCAAATAATGCTCGAGAGTCTGATTTGCGTTATTTCCGATATTTTGAAAACTGCAGGGGGTATTAAGTAAAGTGTGACCCATCGCCATTTTCACTATTTGGCGTATTTTTGGCATAAAAAGTCATAATTTCAAACTGCAAACTTATGTTCACGAAACCTAACCTAACGTAAAGTCATTCTCTCCAAAACGACTTTATTTCAGCGATAAAAGAAGCTAAAAATATCACAATGTTAGTTATTCGATGTGACTGAGGACTTACAGGTATGTCAATAAAACAATACTCTGTCAAATTCATTGCTTAA